CTCTCCTGAAGCGAGTGCCTTGCGGGACTAAAACTGCATATATCATAACGGACTTGCCTTATCCGACTGAATAAGGTAGTAGTCTACGACTGCTTCGATTGATGATGCATGGATCTGCTCCTCCGGAAGCACTTTCCCCGTTACAAAGCAGACACTTCAACTGCTTAGTTGTCTCCAACCTATGACAGTGCGTTGAAAATTTTTCCAGTAGTCGGGGGCGCGATCTTCATCGCCCAGTCCAGGCCCTTGCCCGACAGTTGGAGACATCGTGGCATTCCCCTCCCCCTTACCTAAACGACTACCGTCCCCCTTACGACAGGAGACAGAACAGAATAAATCCTAAGGCAAAGAAAAACCATTGACTAGTAGCGGTTTACGACGGGAGTACACCCGGAAGCTAATTCCCGAACATGTCTATCCCTAATCGAAACAACGGATAGACCCCCAAAGGTACCACCATCAGAGTTATGGGACACCGACTACGTAGTCAACGGAAGGATCACCAACCTTTTGATATCTATCCGTACTAGAAAGCATTCTGGGTCTGGGGCCGTATTTTGCCACAATGGATCCAGTGGATGCTGTCTATTGAACATCATTGCGGAGGAGAGTTTCCGTTAACAATGCCTATTTTTCTTGTCAACTAGTTGGAGTTAAGGGAAAAGTTCTCCACCATGCAGCTGTCAAAGCAAGCCACGAGGCTAAACTGGACGTCTAGACTGGGAGCTCAGCTGAAAAAGATAGTCGTTTATGATAGATAGTAAACAATGAAACGAATCGCTTAGACGAGGAGATTTACATTAGGAGGAGCTAAATGAGGACACATACAAAGTACGAATACTACCCTAGAAGCGAGATTACTTAACTCCCACAGCATACTATTTACTCAGTAGTAAGTAAGGAACTAGTTGCCTTCACAATAAACATAACCACAATGCGTTAGCATAGTACATCATCAATTAAGTTTTAGAAAAATATATATATATACTTTCTACTACTCCATACACCGAAGAGACAATCGCGATAAAAGTTTTACTAATGGCATTCATACCTAAATATAACCAACCCCCAATTGAATCAATCGTAGAATTAAATAAGTACTATCCCTTGATTCATTCCCATTCAAAATCACCGATGTATATATATATACATGTATGGTTGCCGCTATACCCGCAGAAGAAGAAGAGGAAGAAGGCATCTACTTGCCAAGTGTTACACCCGCAAGGGCACACAACATTAGCTAAGAATAGTAGATCGGATAATTAATTTTGACTCAACCTTGTTGCCTTTATTTGCCTTCACGGTATGAACAAAGCATAGTCAATGTAATAGCTCTCGGTTATGTGGACCATATCCCGAACATTTACTTGAGTAATTAACTAGCTAGGTTAGTTAACTAACTAGTTAGTTAGTTTGCTAGGTTAGAAGTGTCAGTTGATGATGACGATGAAAACCCCCGCCCGAGAGGCGAATTTGGATGTAACCCATCCAAGATACTCCGTGAATGAAGTGAAGCGAAGGATGAAAGGATGGAGATTCAAATCCCTAGCAAGATCTGTTAACTCTAGGATCTAGCCTAAGATCTACTGGTTGCATTGTGGTTGGTAGTGTATAACTTGATGATGGTGTAGATATATTATGTGGCGATATAGTTATGAGTAGTACTAGATAAATGAGACTAGTGGATATGATTTGATTGAATGAATGACGAATTGGGTAAGTAACTGAGTCATGGATGGGATTGTGTACCTACAGGAGGGGGGGAATACCAAATCGGTAGGAACTTACATTGTCGGGCACTTGAAGCATGTAGGTACAGTAGTAAGAGATAGTAGTAGCATATCTGAAGTACGTAGTAACTTAGTCACATATTCTTACTCATGCTCACATGCACGAAAACGCGATCGATTAAACGGCGAACACCGATAACGGGGAGTACTAGTACTACTAGTAGTAACACCGAAGGCATCCCCTGAATATCATTATATGTGTACAGTAGTATCTGTCTATGTATCTATTAGATAGATAGTAGGTAATAGACAAACGATGAATACTGTCGTACCTAGCTACATAGATAGACTGGCAGGAATAATACTAGTAGAATAGTGAGTAGTAGTTACCATTCCCACGGATAAATGTGACTGATGAATACCCATCCATCTCGGCCCGACCATGAAAAACAACAAGAACAAACAAACAAACAAACAAACAATAAATGAATAAAAACACCAATACTGTGTACATGATTGGCCAGTGCGTATAAGACAGTCACTAGTAAGAGTAGTAGCTATGCCTTCCAGTAATATTATTGATGATTTACGTATTCACCTACTACTTACCTACAAAGTAGTAACTAGTAAGTAATAGAGAGTAGTAATTAGCTATCGTCATAAGGGAACGGAATTAACGTACGAATCCAATTAGGGAATAGGGAATCCCCCAAGGAAGAGGAAACTAAACCTATTCGGGGAGGTGGACATGGAAAGAGGCTGGCTGAACCTGAACAACAAAAAAAAACAAACCGAGCCCATGTTTTTTGTCTCCTTCCCCGTAATTCATGCCCGAAAAGGGCAGGTATTGACACCATCATTCCATCCCCCCAGCACTACTTTTTAATTTTTTTTTTCTTTCCCACCAGTCCATTCCATTCCAGTGAACCGGAAACTAGGAGGAAGACGGAAAGGAAATTAGGCAGGTAGTTTTGCACCGGGGTTTAGTTTAGTTTCGTTTAGTTTGTCAATTAGTTTGACTTTCGCGGGATAGGGGAGTACTAGGAGTACCAGACACTTACCACCTACCTGGACAGGATAGGAGGCGGTGCTACTTACTGCTGCTGCTGCTATGATGCTAATCGGTTAGTCCGGTTGGCTGGGTTGGTATTCGGAAGTATCGGATTTAAACCTGACTGATTGATTGACTTGACGGACCTGCAGATGGGGTTAAACTTTGTTACTGGTTAGGTTGTGAACTTTACTTTTACACTGATGTTTATCGAGGTCGATTTGTGAGTGAGATGTGTACAATTAATGAATAATGGTGTGGACGGATATTGAATCCTCAGTAACAAACAGCTGCCTCCCCACCAATTGTCATCATTCCGAACAGACAAGGTATCCATTCCCTCAGGATGCCTTGCAGCAATCAGGCTCGCATTAGTTGCTTCTGCAGGTTGCCCGGTTTTTGCCACTTGTCGTCACAGTCGCTTTTTTTTGCTCTGTGCTCTGTGCTGTGTGGTGCAGCTAGTCTAGCTCCCCGGGATTTGAATGTCTGTTTGGCTCCTTATCACTGTGCAGATTAGTGTTGGTTTAGTGCAGATATTGCTGGTCATGTGAATCTCCTCCCTGTACTCCGTAGTTAGTTAGTATAGTGTCTATCCATGTTTTGATATGGGCAGTACCAAGATGGGCATATTCTGTCCTAGTTAGTTAGCTATGTAGCTGGGCTATTCAACTTCGAAGGAGGTCTAAATACACTTATGAATTAGCTACGAACCATGATTTCTATACAGCTCAACCATGGATCCCATAAAGAACCATTGTATACCCGATGCGGCAACAATAAAGAACAACCCCCAGATAAAAGAATCATGAAACCACCAGACCCCGGTCATTTCTCTACATTAGAGTACTGAAGAAAGAAAACAAGAAATGCCATGAGATGTTCAAGACATCACTTTATACCCCCTGTCTCATCTCGCTGATCCTCACCACCCTCTTTCTCACCACCATCACCATCCTCCTCCTTACACCACCCACTTTTCTCCCACATATCATCCCTCCCATATGTCCCTCAGAGTCCCTAAGCCTACCAGAACAGACTCACGGTCGAGCTTTCAACGAGCGCCCTGAACTCGAACGGACAGTCAACGATTCGGACGAAGTCCAGACATGGGAATCCATCCTCCTCCCGCCCGGTGGCGGAGGCATCCTATCTCATACAATTCCCGACCGTATCCATCTCACCGCTGACGAGAAGAAAGAGAAGAAACTCCTCAGCTGGGGGATATCAATGTTCCATCAACTGCACTGTCTGATTGTGCTGCGGGCGATTGTCTTCCCCGAGACGACGGAGAACAAAATCAACTCAACCAGTCAGGCGCATTCGGGCAACATGATGCATGACAAGGTACATTGGGCGCATTGCTTTGACTATATTGCTCAGGTGGGTTTTCGTTCATTGTACTTGTCTACCCCTCAGCTTTGCTCAGAATCTGACCATGATAGGGCATCCTCTGTGCTGCAGATGACACGATCGAACGGCCCCGGAAAACAAAGGACTGGCACGGTAAGACCATCTTCGACATCGATGGGGTGGGCGCGGTGCATCAGTGTCGAGATGCGAGGGTACTGTGGCAGGCGTCAGTAAATTCGATGGAGGAGCCGGTGGATATGCAGGGCTGGAGGGAGGGAGTGGGCGTGCGGGCGTTCTTGGGCGAGAGAACAATGGGGAACGATGAGGAGGTCCCGGAGTTGTATACCTTGGGTATGGAGTAGTGTGTTTGACTTGCTGTGGTAGATGTTGAATTCAAGGATGTTTGTTCTTCAACTGAGTCAGGCCCAAGTCACTTGACACCACAGCCAGGCCAGTCCTCCATCAACTCCGCACTTCCCCACTCTTGCGCTCTCTTTCTCCATCTTCTTCCCTGCTGCTCATCCATTCAGGGTTTGTTCTGAGCCTGTGGATGTATTCCCACTTGCCTTTCCCACTTCCCGAGGCAAATAATATTGATGTCATCGCTTGGACAGTGGCTGCAATTCGGCAATGCCAGTCCTTCTACCACTCGATATTGGACAAATGCCAGGCACTTGTCGGTCGCGTTCAAACCCATGAAGCAGTTCCCACACCAATCACCTCATACCTCTCTATATACTCGAATGATGCGTCGATGCTGTGTCCCGAATGTGGGGGACCGGCAGTGGGGATGCGGGGATCTATAGTCTCCATCCGCTGGTTTATATAAACTGCTAGCAGACCACCAGATACTAGCATAACCCCAGACCCTAGACCTCGTTCAAATCAAACACCATGACTAGTACCACTGAAGAGAAAATTCGTGCTACCTTTCCCGACCTCGAATGGTTCCCCCTCCCACCACCGGCAGTGCATCCTGCCTACAACTATCAAGGCTTCCACCCAGGCAAGAAGACAGTGCTTTCCGCAGGACATGTGCGATCACCAGGCCATCGCGCATTCCACACAGACGTGCTGTTCGAGCAGGATATAGCCATTACCCTCCGTGACGGCATCAAGATATACACAGATATCTTTCGACCTGTCGACTCCGACGCCAGCCCCGTCCCAGCCATCATCCCATGGAGTCCCTATGGCAAGACAGGCACCGGTCCGCAGAGCTACGATAGCATGGCGCCCTTCCGCGTTGGACTCGAGAAGAGTCGGACCTCAGGCTATGAGAAGTTCGAAGCCCCCGATCCCGCCGAATGGGTGCCTCGCGGCTATGCCATCATCAACATCGACGCCCGCGGCGCTGGCAACTCCGAAGGCAACATCACCTTCTGGGGCCAACAAGAAGCCGAAGACATCTATGACACGATCGATTGGTTGTCCAAACAGCCCTGGTGCAATGGCTCCGTTGGGATGGCAGGCAACTCATGGCTCTCCATCGCACAGGTCAACTTTGCCTCGCGACTCGAGCATCCTGCCCTCAAAGCCCTCGCTCCCTGGGAAGGCCTCACAGACCTATACCGAGACCTAACCATGCGCGGCGGCATGAAGCACAACGAGGCCTTCCACAAACTAATCCTCACTGGATTTGCCGGTCACGGAACCGCAGAGAACATGCCCGCCATGCTAAGCAAACGACCCTTCGACGACGCCTACTGGCAAAGCAAACGCATCCACGCCGAACGCATCGGCGACATTCCCCTCTACATCCTCGCATCCTACTCCTCGATGCTGCACACGCGTGGCTCCTTCGAAACCTTCCGCACCGCCAAAAGCACCCGAAAATGGCTCCGCGTACACCCACACCAAGAATGGTACGACTTATACCGACCGGAGATGGTCGACGACCTCTCTCGTTTCTTCGACCGCTACCTCAAAAACACACCCAACGACTGGGAAAGCACACCACCCGTGCGCCTCTCCCTCCTAGGCTTCGAAGGCAGCTCCGTGCCCACCATCCTCGAACGCCCCGAACAAACCTACCCATTAACCCGCCAGGAGCTCAAGAAATTCTACCTCAACGCATCAACCAAGACCCTCCAACCCTCTCTCCCAGACACAGCCACCTCAACAACCCATTCCGCCCTCCACGGCACTTCCGTACGTTCCATCCCTCCTCACCCCTCCTACTCATACCCCCTTCCCTCGAATACCCATCCTAACAAAACAACAGGACTTCACCCTCCACTTCCCCACCCCCACTCAGTTAGCTGGATACCCCCGCGTCCACCTATGGCTCTCCACCCCCCACCACACAGACATGGACATCATCGTGCAAATCCGCAAGATCTCCACGACCGGCGAACTCCTCGAACACCTCAACTACCCGTGTCCCGTGCCCGTCGACGCCGTCCCCAACGTCAACACAGCCAAGACGCTCGGGCCGCAGGGGTTCCTGCGTGCGTCGCATGCCGTCACGCGCGACGAGACGCTCTCCACGGAGCATGAGATCGTGTATAAACATGATCGCGCGGAGATGATACCCGCCGGAAAGATCGTGCCGATTGATATTACGTTGTGGCCGATTGGGATGGTGTTTGGGGCTGGGGAGGGGATTATGTTGAGAGTGGCGGGGCGTGATTTGTGTTATCCGGAGGTGGAGTTTGATGATCTAGTGGAAGGGGAGGGGGGATCGGGAGGGGAGGTGGAGGAGCAGGTGCATGAGGTTCATTGTGGGGAAGGGTTTGATTCTTATTTGGTGTTGCCGGTTGTATAGATGAAGATGGTGATGATGGTATGTAGAAGAAGTGGGAGTGAGTATATCGGGATGGATATTGATTGCGTTTGCATGTATTTCAACCTGGTATAGTAGGGTAGGGTAAGTAGGTAGGTAGATACAGAGTGAAAGCTAAGCCTGCTTCTCCAACTGCTTCTCCAACGCCATAGCCTCCGCAAACGAATCCTTCCACGCCGTCGCCTGCTCCTCCGACGGCACCACACAGGGCCGTCTCGGCAACGCTCCATATCCACGATACGTCTGCAAGGCACTCTTGACGGCCACAAACCCACCCTTAATCGCCTGCCAGTCCGCACGCGCCACAATAGCCTGCAACCGCTGGGCCTCCTCGACCTGACCAGCCTGATACAGCTCCATCACACGCACACTCAACCTCGGAATCAGATTAGCCACGCCACCAATCACTCCATGACCGCCTGCCACCAGCGTCTGGAGCGTGAAATCCGCGGAGCCACCAAAGGTCAAGAAGCCCGGTTCAGCGGCGGCAGCAATGCGCGCCAATTTACCCGTGTTTCCACAGGTCAGCTTCA